CTGCCCTCCTGCTCCGCCGCCGTGAGTGACGTCACCGCCACCGGCCGTTACGGCGCTTGGGCTGGGGCGGGTGGCGATTGTCCCCGGTTCCGTGAGGGCTGCGTAGAGCGAAAGTCACCGAGTGGCGCTGAGTGCCGGGGACCTGGGGGGAGCCTCAGGAGCGCCGCGAGGGGTCCTTGGCCTCTGCGTGTTCGCGTGTGTCCTCTCTTGTAAATATGTGCACGTACATGGAGTCATAGCACATGTATTTAATGAGATAAAACAGGAGACGCCACTGTATAAAGGGGAAAAAGCAAAGTTATTTAATAAGAGCAGTAATGGGAAACCTGCACAGGAATTAGCGCATCTTTAGGCTATTAAAGGTTTAAAGAAAATTAAGAAAGATCAAAGATGTTGCAGAGATAGGAAAGGAAGCTCCACTTCACCTTTTTTAATAGATGAGCATGCCTGTTTCTGGAAGTGCAAATGTAGAGTTTGAAAAAAATTAATAGGCAAAAAATGTTATTTTTGCAATATAAACACTGAGAAGGACACCCTTTGGTCTGATCTTCAGCATCCTTACAGAAAGGACCAAGGTGTAGATAACTGTAGATGACAGAAAACAGAACCAATAAACTGTTATGACAGGTAACGCCAATAAGACAAATATGTGTGAAACCAAACAGTTTTCTGTCATACTGCTCTTTCATGTAAATAATCTGTCACACAGAGCAGTGCACCCTTTTGGAGTAAGGCATAAAAATCTTGTATTAGTGCAATTTGGTGGCAGCACTTGGTGTTGCAGTAAATGACTAATTGAAATATTTGCTCAATGTTCTGCTGTGGTTCACTCCAAAGTAATGCAATATTCTTATAGACTCCAGTACTGCTAAAATTGTGGGAAAAAAAATGCATAGCTGTTTTTTTCTGTCCTTGTCATCGTTTTGCTCTGACTCCAAAATCTAAGTACGAGTAAGTGAAAAGGCTTATGTCTTTTATATCTTCCTTTCTAAGGTAAGAGAAAATCATCAGTCTACAGCATTAATTTTACTTTGAACCTCCTTAGCTTATTATCTCAGTCAAACCATAAGAATAAGTATTTTCTGGCTTCCAGAACACATGGCAGAACATATGAAATCAAGGTTTTCCCTGGTCCTCATGAAAGGGTCTTGTTTTATGGGAGAGTTTGAGTATATAAGCAGAAAACCATGCTTTATACATACCCAAAAAAATGAAGTTAATTTTGGTTAAATAATTATTTTTTTCCTTTTTAGATATCCCGACTGTTACAAAAGGATGCAGAGCAAGAATCGCAAATGAGAGCTGAAATTCAGAATATGAAGCAAGAACTCTCAACCATTAGTATGATGGATGAGTTTGCTAGATATGCCCGTCTGGAAAGAAAGATCAACAAAATGACTGACAAGCTTAAGACTCATGGTAGAGTACAGTGTTTATTTCCCTGTATATAAGCGTTTTTTTAATTTTAAGTATATTTCTCCTTATCTTTTTTTTTTGTTTCCTACCGTTCTTTTTTTCCATGCTCTTTTATTCCTTTCTACTATCCTCCTCCTTTTTTTTTCATTTTGGTGGGCTTTTGATTTTTTTTTTTTTTTTTTGGTCTTTCACCTGTGCATGGTTCTGCATACACTGGTAATGGTGCAATCATAGATATTAAATTGTTTTCACAAGGATTTTAATGGGCTTCACTGTATAGCATATTAACTGTTCCTTAGTGATGCTCATCAGAAAAGTGTGGAAAAGGCAAGTTTTTGTTCTCTGTTTCTTGGTAAGTATTTCAGTCAGTACACCTAGATGTTTTGAGTAAGTATGGAAGTTCTCTGTCACTGCAAAAGGGTGCTCTGCTTGACTGGGGCTGTTTGGTTGTGCTGCAGGAGGATAGAGAGAAAGTGTTGATCTAAAGGGGTAACCAGATGAAATCTTTGCTACTCTTTTGCTCCTCTGTTTGACCTTATGCCGTTGCTGCTAGGATAAAGCTAATGCTCTGTCTCCATCAGGATTCTGCAGTGGTAGAATCCATTATCTCATGGTAGAAAACACATGTAAACGTTTGGCACCAGAGCTTGTGTAGTTGTGTCTGTCCAAACTCACTGAGCGATCCCAGCAAAATACGGAGGACACAAGGGCGCTTGCTTTGCCTGCCTCCTCTGCTCAGAACCATGTGGATGATGTTGCCCTTCGCTTTTGCTTGGATAAAAGAGAATATTTGATACTTTGTTTTCAGAAATATTAACCAGCAACTTCAATTAAACTAGATATGAGTGGTTTACTTAGCAGTCGGCAACACTATTTTGTAAAACTTGTGGCCACTGTTTCACTGCAGATGTGTCATTTTTGGAGAGTTTCTTTGTACTAGTTCTATGGTGCTGTACTAGAACAGACATTGGGAAGAGAGCTCTTATTATTGATTCTGACCAAGATGGAATGAAGGAATAATTTTGTGAATGGTTTTAACCATCTTTCTGGATGAAATAAGGCAAAAAGTGCTACAGCAGTCATTGTCCCCTTCTGGGAAGAGAAAAATCTTATTTTATGCTTTCTGTAAAGCAGATTATTGAATAAGCAGCCACAGAGACTCTTTTCATTTGGGAACAAGGTTCTTGGTTATATGTGACATTTCTCTGTGGAGGAGATCAGTGTTTCAAACTTTTCATGGTATTATTAATTAAGAAACTTCTATGGGAAATGGACCTAGCAGAGGGGCAATTCTGATGCATCTGTGAATCATTTTGAAACAGATTTTAACCAGGTGTGTGATGCTTAAGTGTAACGTTCTGATTTCAAGAGTGATATATTAATAAATTATTAATTTTATGGAAGTATAATTTATTGTTGTAAGTAATACAGAGTAATCTTCTTCTTTTGACAGTTAAAGCACGAACTGCTCAATTAGCCAAAATAAAGTGGGTTATAAATATTGTATTCTACATCTTGCAAGTAAGTAATTATTTTATTATGGATATAGATTACTAAAATCCTCAATTTAACAATACTTTTTTCTACATTTCATTTATTATGCAGTGATCAATCACACAGCTATTTGACGTTGTGATGATGTAAAACATGCCAAACTGAAACTCCTTCTTAAGCACAGAAAGGAGAGGAGTTGCTGACAGGGTCTGGTAGTTTTGGATAAAGGGGTTTTAAGTTTAAATTAAGCTCTTAATTCTCTGGTTTTGAGATGACAATGTATGAGTTTACCTTAACTCTTCCATTACTCTTTTTTCATTTATGTGTGGCACTGGCAGAGGAAACTTCCAATATGTGTATATGTGTTTTGGTTATGTTTTGGAATAAGCAAAATATTATGCTTTTGCTTACAATGCAAATCTCCACTTTAAGCTGTCACGCATTTTCCCCCAGGGCCTCACCAGATTGTCTCTCAGACTCGATGCCAAAGAATTCCATGAATGTTTTGCTAGTAAGGATGACAGTGCTTAACCTGATGATAACTTTCGGGTAACATGAAAGCTGGTTGGATTGCTAGATGGCTAGGATTATGGCTAAAAACAGTCATAAGAATGTAATGATGTATATTCCTGTTTTTATCTATGCTGCTATGTCTCAGAAGAATGCAGTATTTTCCAAAGCCTTCTGCCTCTTAACTGTGTGTGAGATTAAGTGCTTAAAAACGTTCAAAAGTTACTTGAGAGCAATCTAAACAATAAATAAACTACAGTCTTTTTTAATTAGAATTTGTTATTTGCCGCTTCAGAATAGCAGTGCAAATGTATGTTGTGTATTGCTGTCCAATGTAATAAAAGTTTCCCTTCTAGGCTGCCCTGATGATCTCTCTGATCTGGAAGTACTATTCCGAGCCGGTCACTGTGCTTCCGAGCAAATGGCTCGCTCCCCTGGAGCGCCTGGTGGCCTTTCCTACGGGAGTGGCTGGTAAGAACATGTCCACTGCCTCGGACTTCATGCTAATGCACCCGTATGATGACAAATACACGTCGAGAATACAATGTATAGCATAATGTAGATTAGTATAATATTATATTGCAATGCTATATGTAATTCAGTAGTTATGCTAATACTATGATTATATTATTAATATATTAGTAATCCATTAGTATATAAGTAATACATGATATAGTATAATGATAAAAAGCATATTATTATTTAACTATTAATAATAATTAAAAACAATTGGTACATTTCTTAAGTAACAACATAGTTTCAAACATCTGATTAGCTTTTTCAATGTGTACAGGGTTTTGTTTTCAAACAGCAACTTTGTCTTAATATGTGAGAATATATGCTCTGGGGAAGATTTCAAATCAGAAAGAGTTTTATATTAAGAAAATCACTGAAAATGGTAGAATTGGCTTTTAAAATGAGTAAATACTTCATATGTGTTTCTTATAAACAGTTCAAATTTTACAGAAACATAATTCCACTTGTTCTTCCCATCATGCTTCTGTTGTGTTTTCACCTAATTAAATCCATTTCTTTTGAGTAGTTTAACAAATTAACAGGTTTCAGATCCATGTTTCTGAGTGACAGGGATGATGGCTGTATGCTGATGGAATAGGTAGACAGGCAGAATGATAGGACAGTGTAGCACTGAATTTTTTTCAGCTATAGCACAGTGGGTAATTCTCCATGTTAGACTTCTAGGTCCTCTCTCTCTCTCAGAAGGAATTATAAAATATGTTGCTGTTTTACCATTTTATTAGCTTTTATTAGCCTTAGGGCCATTTTAATGGCTTTAAAATGCTTCACCTCCTTCTTTGCCTTCAAATTTCCTTTATTGCCTTAGTTGATAAATGCATTAAAGAGATTGCTTTTGAAAATTTCTCTAAGTAATGAAATTGAGAACAGAAAAGCATTGAAAAAGTCATCACAAGGTGGTTTCTTTGTATCTGTGCTCTGGATATTTTATTGTTATGTTATTTCTGATAGGAGTGTAACTACATAAGCATAAAAAAGAAAAGTTTTGATCTGTTTTCTGGGGAGTGTTTTTTTTTTTCCCAGTTTTGCCTGGTCAGTCTAAATGACAACTCAGTAAAAGCTTCTTGATCCTTATAACTGAGAAGCAAACAGCCAAATATTTCCTAATAACTTATGGATCTCTTTCGTAGCTTCCTTAATAGGACATGAACTTTGCTTGAAGAGCAAACAGCGCTCTTCAAAGATTTATTGCAATTTTTCTTAATCTTTTTTTTCCCCTTTGTTCCTCAGATTCTTTGATGTATTACAGTCAGGACATACCTGTATTCTGTTACACAGATACAAATTACTAAACTGGTAGTTTGAATTAATTTGAATAGAGCGTTTAAAACAGCAGTACCCAGAGATCTGGATTAGTAGTGAAAGTCTCCAGGGCTTTTACATACAGCTGTATGCAGAGCAAGGGGAAAGGAACATACAGATTTAATGGTCTTAAATTTTTAAGGAGCCACTTGCTCTGTACCTCTCTTGAATCTCTGAATTTAATTTTTTACCAGAGGAAGCATTTTGTTACTTTCCATACCTTTAACTTTAGCAACGCTAGCATTTTTCATTAGCTGAATGTTTTTAGAAGCTTTAGGTTGAATGCCACACACTGACTCATATTCCTGTTACTTAGGACTTTCCTCCCCATCTAATACTCTTCTGGTTTTCTTAGAACCGCCACTTGAAGAGAGATTTGTGTCTAGAAAGAGAGATATTTTGCTCTCCTTGACTTCATAACTCTTAGGTTTTGTTTCTAAAACTTCTAAAGTTGGTCTCAGAAGCTGGTATACTTCAGTACTGTTGATGCCCTGACTTACACTGTTTTATGTCTCTTTCAGGTGGTGTCGGAATTACTTGTTGGCTTGTTGTTTGCAATAAAGTCGTAGCTATCCTGCTTCACCCTTTCAGCTGAAGGAAGGAAGCCATGGAGTCCTAAACTGTTTTCATTATCACTGTCAAAACATGGGGAACAGTTGTCTTCTGTCAAAGACCAAATCTGAGCTAATTTCTGTTACTTCAGTTGGATATTTGTCAGTACTCTTTTACATTTATATTTCCTTAGTTTGTTTTCCAGATTCAGAATTAGCAATTTTTGAAGACTAGCATTGTCCTTTGTAAAGTCTCTGCCTATTTTGACAGGCGATTCATGGCATGATCTTAAAACTTTGTCATGGCATAAAAATGCTGGATTTTAAACATTTACATTGGAAATGCACTGGCATTAGGAATTGTTCTGGGAGGTTTGTTGTTTCTTTGCTGTATAATACAGCGCTTCACCCAAAGGTGGAATTATATTTGGTGACAGATGGAACTAGAGGTTGGCTTAGTGTGAAACAGAATGAATTGCCTCCTTGCCTTTTTTTTTTGCACTAGAATTGAGGTGTTCTTGTACAATCTTGGAAAATGCGTGATTGATACAATATGCACAATCTGCCTGCTGCCTCTTGGGATTCTGTCAGTTGCCAAATAGGAGGGGTGTGATTACTTCTTCTGCCCTATTTTTTAAAATACATTGAAATCTTTTTTTCCTGCTTTTACTGAAAACTGAGCTTTCCTTCTATGATTTTTTTTTTCCTGCTTCTCAAATTGAGTGAGTATCACTGAAACTACTCCCTTTCATGTTTTGGGAGGAAAGGTCTGACCAGCTTCTCAAGCTTCACATTAAGAAGAATAAAGTAGAAGACTGTGCTGTTCCTTCAGAGAATACATTCCTTTGGCTGCTATATATATATGTATATACGTAAATGACAGTTCTGGATAGCTCAGAGGAGCGTATCATGAAAAAAAGGCAAATTAGTGACTTAGATGCCTAAAGTAGCAAGAGAAGGTAGCAGTCGTACAAACAAGAGGAGAGGTGAAAACCATCTATTGCAGAGCACATTTAGTTACATTGCTACATTTAGTTGGTGAAAACCATCTATTGCAGAGCACATCCTTCTTGCTACATTTAGTTACAGGAAACAGCCATGAATATTCAGAGTTTAAAGGAGGACAGAATTCCACCTATGCCTGTTGAGCAGTGCATTTTCCACAGTTCAGCGGTATCTCCAACTCCTATCACTGTTGTCCCATTAAACAAAGCAGTGGTTTTATTAATTCTTGATCCACAAATTCCCGCCCCCTCCTCTTTTTTTTGACATGAGCCTGAACAAAACTCTTGTAGAAATGGACAACCTTCTGTTTTCTGCTGGACTCCGGGGCTTCCTGCTCTGTACAGTGGAACACACTAGTTGTGTTATGTTTGGGTCCTTCGTGTTCCTGCAGGGATGTCTCGGAGCCCCTCCGTACTAAATGTTACCTTTAGAATTACTTCAAATGGTCAGGATAAGTTTTCTCTGTGTATGTGTGTATATATATGCATGAAATGTTTTTTCTTAAATGTTAATTAAAAAAAGGACTAAAATTTGTTTTTATCTTAGGTATTACATTTGACCAGCATGAAAATAAATGTATTTATCAACAAGAAAAAAATATAGGAGTTGAGTCTGCTATGTATAATTCTGTTTTTATTCATGAAATAAAAGCTTTCAACTGTACCACCTCTTCTAATGCACGTTTTTAAAAGGTTATTTTCAGTTTTTGTTTAAAATATATTTTTGGGGGGTAAGGAGATACAGTTGGAATCAACTGACCTAATAGATATTTATTTCTGAAGTATTTGGGACGGATTATTTAACTACGACTGATATATTTTGGAATTTTAAGACGTGGCTAATGATACTGTCACTTAATTTGTTGAAAAGTTTCACATGAAGAGGTCAAGAAAAGCTTAACACCTTCAGAATGCTACTCATTCTTTAGCCACCTTGAGCACGGAGTAATGAAATATGTGGTCTGTGGGCTGCTCTAGTCAAACATTTGTCTAAGTAGAGGGCAGACACACTTGGTCATGTAGTCAGTACAGATAGGGGTGTTGGATTATGTGTATTTGTCTGATCTGAACCTGGGAACATCAGCAAATACATTGTATAAGTATTAATAGTACATAGAGGGAAAACACCCGCTCTTCTGGCTGCTCTAAGTTGTTGTTGTTTGAAATCTGTCCACTCTACAGCTTAATCAAGACTTCAAGGAAAAAATACCTAAGACTTTGAAGAGAAAGGCATTGCAAGCAGGTTAAGATCAAAATATCTTAATCATCTTTAAACCTTTTGGGCAATAATTTTTGAATTTGTTCTTTAAATTCTCTTCAAATTTAATAAATATGAGCACAGTTTTTCTTAATTCTGCTTTTTAACAAATACTTGATGTCTCATGAATTACTGCGAAGGTGCAGTAATCAAGTTATCCTTCTACCCTCACTTACACAACCTTAAACAGGATATTTTAAAATCTTTTTGAGAACTGGATATGCCTGACCTGCAAAACAATAGCTGACATTGGCGCATTCATCTTTGGATGTCAGCTGGGGTAGTTACCAGGCAAATTGCTTTGATCTGTTCTAACAGTGGAAAAGAATGAAGCATGAGTGTGTTATAATGCTAGTGAAAACACTGTAATATCAAATTGATTTTACTCTGTGTGAATTCTGCAGGCTATTGCAAGAGTGAAAAAAAATTACCAATTAGCACTTTTGGTACTAATCAAATGATGAACACTGTGAAATTGGGTATCTCTCCACAAGGAGCTTAGCAAATAATCAAAAGGTGCTGTTAAGGCGCTCTTAGTAAAATGCACTATGATCCTCCCCCAAATGTTTTTCTGTAACAAATGATTTGATGATGGATCATATTTGAGGACTCACTGAAAAAAAATTCAATACATGCGGCCTTTAATATGTTTTTTGAAGGTAAAAACATCCATAGGTAAAACATGTTTCAGTAAATGTTAAAAATGCCCAGTACTTCAAAACTTTAAAATAAGTTGTATTCAAGTAAATATACTTGAATATTGAGGGAAATCATTATTTTGTGTTCACTGGTGGCGTTGCTGATAATGATTCCATGGGTGGTAGCTGCCCACATCGTAAGCTCGTAGTGCTGCTGTGAAGTTTGCTCGTGTAACCGCGCGTCCCTTCACTTCTCTTTCCGTGCTTCTCTCATGGTACTGGTTGAGTGGTTGTCTTTTAAAACACAGCTCGCTCCAAAGAGTTCTTTCATAAGACTGCTTTTCCTTTCAGTGAATGTCACATTAGTGCGGCCTTCCGCTTCGACCAAACTGTCCTGCCTTGTTTTGGGCACTTTACCAAAAGATGGTTCGTACAGTCCAAATGAGTTTTTCACCTTGCATTCAGCTATTTCGCTGCCCTCCTGCAATGCGTGTCTGTGGCTGCCTGTTAGGGATTTTGCACCTGTTGTAGGAAGCCCATGATGCAAATTTTCAGTAGCTTCTGAGAATACATATTGTTTTCTCAGTCTAATAGGTGTTTTGTTTCTTTGCATAGGAGTTACACATTTACTGTCTTCCTTCCTATTATTATTTAACTGTTTGTCTGGCTTTTGTTCATATTCTTCCACTGTATCTCCGTCTTGCTTGTTCTTTTTTAGAATGTCATCTAGAGGAGTTTGTTCAGTTTTCAGCATTTTTTTCAGCTCCTGTTTAAGCAATTCAGCTCTCCTTTTTTGCTCTTCTCTCTTTTTTTCCTCTTGTTTCATGTATTCTAAACATGTATGTTCTTCCATCACTGGTTTGCCTTCCCTTAAAAATTCTAAAATCAAATATTGTGATTTTTTTTTTTTTAGGATTCTAGAAACCTAGAAGCACTGGTTACCTTATGAAATCTTATGAAGCACTGAGGAAAGAAAGCTTTACTTTTTTATTTCACAGCTAAGTTGTTTCTGGCTCTTCAGTTCTATCTAAACATAATGAACATAATGAGAAAGTCAAAATAAAGAGACCTGGTTATATTTAAAGGCACAATGTTCATGTTTAAATCTTGACCCATCTGGCTATGTTTATTAGTAAACAGCCCTCATTTTGACCTTTTCATTATGTTTAGTTTTATTTCATGAATAAACATGAAAATATTGTTTAAAAATAGCACTGAATACCTCACAATATCTTAAAGACTAAATATAAGGCCAGAAAAGTCATGTATAACATCAAAGACAAAGTGCATCAAAATTCTGTCATCTTTTTGCTTTTAAATGGAACTTGAACATAGCTATGATTTTCTTTCCCTAAATTAATTTACAAATTGCTTTATTTTTGCATGGGGCAGAATATTCTGCAGTTCTCTAACCTACTAGTGAGTTGGTTTTGCTTTTTAATACAAAGGTATATGTATACTCAATGCTACAGTAAAACACTGGTCTGTTGCAGGGGAAAAACTGTAACGGGTTCCTGTGCTTTGGAGAGAAACAAAGAGTACCACCAAAATGAGGGGAAAAATCCCACATTAAAGAGTAAGTATGAAGTCAGAATAGTGAAAAAAACTAAATAAGACTTCATTAAGTAAGTCTGATGGCAGCAACAAAAAAGCCTAAAGAGAGTCCGGCAAAGAACTGAGCACAAGCAGACCTGTGTTTTCTGTCAGCTTGAAAAGGGAATTCCAAAGACAAATGTTGACTTCAGTTATCTGGAGGGGCTAAAGGAGGGGCTCTGGAAAGGCTGGGGGCTGAAAAGGAGAAGTGCAAAATGTGGAAGTTGTTAACCTATTCCAGATCCCTAGCTCTGTTGCTCAACTAGCAAGTGACCTTAGCAACCCGCTTCACTTCTGTGTCCAGCAGCTGCATTTTGGTGACTCTTAGGTTGGCGTTGAACTGATTGGTGTCTGTCAGATGCCAGCTAATTGCCATCAAGCCCATATAAATATCAGTATCAGCAGTTCATTCAATTTTCCACAAGAACAAATAGTTTCTGAGAAAAACAAAATGTTAAATTATACCTCTGCATGTTCTACTCAGAGCTTCTAGCTTTGGGATTTTCTTGGTTGTCTGCTTTTCTGCTCTACATCGGGCATCTGTGTGTGATCCATTGGCTCTATCTTTTTGATTTTTATCTTCTGAACGCTTTTCCTCCTTAATTGATAAATAAAAGTAAAAATAAAGGAAAACATTTGTTCAGCACCTTTTAAAAGTACATAATCAGTGGAATACTCACAAAAAATACTGATTTCTATTACTATTATGTTCTTATTTTGTATGGCAACTTTCGTCCTACATATTTTCTATAACATTTGCAATAATTATATTCAAACAAAATGCAAATCATACAAAGGTAGGATGACAAATTGGATTATTAGGTGTATAGCATTGAAACAATAACACACAGCTTAATTGAGAGTTTAACAAAAGATTGAATCTAGATCTTTCATACCTTTGATAGCTGAGTGGGTCTTTTTTCTTTTTCTTTGTTTTGGTGCTGTGGCAGCAGCAGTGACCTAAAACTCTGCTTGTCTACTTGTACTGACTTGTTTAAACTAACACCTGTTGAAAACAGACAGTCATTACAGTGCATACACTACATAGTCATGTAGTAGCTTCAGGAACTACCCTGTTGGTAGAAATAAAAGATACCTAGTCTAGCAAATCAATAACCTAATACTAGCCTTTGGTCTAGGATTTAAGCATAGCTTTTTCTGCATGCCCTAATACACTTCAATAAATATCTTGTCTGGTTTATAAATGCTGAAACTAGAACATACACATAGTGAGATTCCATCTTCAGGTTGTGTTAGCTAACGCCTTAGGTTATGACACTCAAACTTGGTGCAGTATATGTCAGTATGTATCAATGAATACTAGTCCCATAACGCATCCCACACTAAGTAACGCGTCATTGTCTTTATCGTAGGAGTTTCCTGTCTAGTAAAGAAAAACGGGGAAATAACTAACAAACAAAACATTGCTGAGTGTGATTCACATGTTGTGAATGACCTGTCCAAAGACATACTAAAACTTCATTGTCTAAGCATTTTTGGATGTTTTATTAGTAAAGTGTGTGAATTCAGCCATCTGCACTTCTGAGCATTTCCATCAGTAAATCCTGAATGTTTTAGTCAGATGTACAAAGAAGTGCTGTGCAGATACAATGTGTCAAGTCAGACAAAGGTGTCTATACGCACAGCCCACATGTGCTTCACGTGCACGCTAACATCCTAAGCCAAGGTTGCCCTAGAGAGGTTTGGCACTAGGGCCTCAGCTTCCCGCTTCCTAAATTCTGATCCTGCAAGGATAGGAAGTGTGCTTGCTTTTACACCTTACGACTTAATTGCTAACCCTGCTCAAAGTTAAACATTTATGTAAGGCTTTGCAGAACCAGACTTCCTCAGAGGAAACATTTAACACTATATTTGAAACATTCATAATATTTTAAAGATTCCAAGGAAGTAGCTGAATGGGACTTTAAAAGCAATCCCTGCATGGATGATGGGGGAGAGGGGAGAAGCACATTCCTTGTTCTCTTATCCTGTTGGAATAATTGTCACAGAAATACAGTAGCTAAGAAAGTTGCTAACGCAGAAGCAAAAACTGATCTTACCCACGTCAAGATTCACACTTGCTCCCAGTTTGGTTCTCTGAAAGCAGAGGAAGACTATCCACTAAATGATGATCTTCAAGTGTTTGCTGCTTGGTAGTAATAAGGATGCTGAAAACTAGACTTGGAATCGCTCTGATGATGTGGAGAAAAGCAGTCGTCATTTTGAACCAGGTGAAAGTTGCTTTGGTGCCTTTCCAGCAGAAACCCGGTCAGCATTCCTTACATTCAGGACTAGGGGGAGCTGTATCTCTAGGTGAGCCCGCGTGGCCTAACCCTCCCAAACACAGCAAGCCTTTCTCTCATGCAGAGTTTTATGAAATTCATTTCTTGGATTTACTCAGAAAATAAATTTTATTTATGCATATATGGCTAGTGTACTCTAAACACCTGCCTTCAGATGTTTATTGGGGTGATAAAAAGTGCAACCCTACCGTTCTTTTATTCTTTCCTGATGGGTAAAAATGCTTACAAATGCAGAATAGAAAATAGCTACTTTTTAAACAAAGTAGCTTTTTCTTAGTCTGTTACAGGAAAAATCATGTCTATATGTGAATGGGAAAAAAAGAAATCTAGTTCTAGATTTCTAAATCATCTGTTTCCATAACTGGCAGAGACTGAAACCCTCAGTAGCCAACAATACCAAAAGATCCGAGAACTTTACCAGGCACCTTTTCACATTATGTCACAGGACTCTTATAGAGACATAAGAATTTTTAAAATTTTACACTTTTTTTTTTCCTCTGTAGTTCACTTGTCATTAATGCAGAGTAATGGATTTGCAAAGGCAATATATTAGGAAAAACATAAACAACTGACCACTAGAAGGCTTCATATTGGCACGGTATCTCTAAGAATCCTGTGGGCAAGTGCAGTATTTTCAGAAGTTATGTTTGTCAGTAAATAAATTTCAAGTGCTCTTCTGTTCCATATGAAGAAAATGCCAATTTCATTTTGACTTCGGAAGCAAGACTAGTTGACCAGAGGAGCTTACTCAGGAAACTGCACGTTCAGATCACCATCCAAAATTAAAGGGCGTGTGTCTGTATGTGTATTTTTTTAAGGATATCAACAGAATGACTGTGTTCTAATGTAGGAGGAAAAATGTTACTTTTGGTGTTAGTAAAATATTTGAAATGTATTTATCGATTTCTGTAGAAAACATCTTTATTAGTACATCTCATCTGAGATATATTGCAATCTTTTAGAAGTTTATAAATACTTCCAAGAAAATTACATTCCTCAACACTGATGAGTGAGCACTGTCCCTGATGAGTGAGCATATGGACAATATAACAGCTGCTGTGTTGCATAATTTGTAATTGTTTTTAGCTGTTGTTCTCTCAGTCTTAAGGGGTGGGAGTGACTTGTCGGAGCAGAGGCGCCCAACGCTGCTTGGGAGGCCGCAGGGTGCGCGGGGTAGGCACACGAGGCTGGCCCAGAGCACGCAGCCCCAGGGGACACCCGTGCCCTTCTGCCCCCACAGCTACTGCGCCAGGCAGAATGTCCAGGGACATCCCAAATGGCACTGGATACCTATGATTAAGCAACTGAATCCCACAGAAGGTATTTGCTTTTGGAATGGCTGGGAGACAAAATAACATATCGTAAACATTTCTCCTCAATATCTGCCTGAGCATCCATGTGAAGGAAATACTCTCTACTAAACAGCTCTTCTTTTCCCCTGTTTATAAAATTATTCCATTCTGTTACTCTACTTTGATCATCTATTACTCCACTACATTATTCTAAAAAAAAAAAAAATCTGTTGATAGAAATAATTGAGAAGATGTGCAATAATTGGGTTATAATCTCTGAATGCCCATTTGAATGTACCTACCCTATGTAACCAAAAGACTACAAAGATTGAGTAGACATTGTGATCATCAGACAAGCAGACATTAGGATCATCAGGCTGACCTTGAAACTTAAAAAAAAATATAACCTGAAAACACCCCCAACAACATAAAAATTGCAGAAGCTTCAGTAATGGACACTTAGGCATTTCTGCTGTTTGGAAGTTAAAGGGACTATGGACTTTAAATATGACAAAACAGCTTCTTAAGACCCAAATTCATGATTTTTGTTCATAAAGAAGTGCTGTACTTAACACTGATGCCTTGCTATAGAAGGGTGGTTTGAGAGGTGTTTTGTGTTGGTAAGCCACATTGTGGGAATTCCAGTGTTAGGATGGCCACTTCACCTGGCCAAGTCAAGGGGAACGGGCTGGGCAAAAGTCAGACAACAAAAGTTAAGTGAACTGTTAACTTCATCTTGCCAAAAATCAAATCAACAAATAGCTATTGGTATAAAAATGTACCTAAACTAGCAACACTACTTTGGTGTCATCATTAGTATACTAGAACCATATGTATACTAAATGCTATGCTGAAAGTTGGATTAAATATTAAATACGGGCCAGGTGTTGTATTTGTAAAATCAATGAGCAAAGAAACAAGCACTTGTCTTTAAACTGTATGTGCTAGGATATTTCTGGACCATATAAAAGTGCCATTTTGGCTTTTATTCTTGAAAACATGCCTCAGTTAAAAAATAATGCAAGTTTCACATAACTAAACGAGGGAAGAAAAGGAACATACACATACTTTTTTCATGAGGTGCTGAATCGCCTTTGTCCTTTGGAATTCTAAGCAACCGATTTGCATATATATTCCTTATACACAGTTCTCGTTCCTTTTCCTGGGAAGAAGTAAACAGTATTAAACCTCTAATATGTGTTAAGAATTACTTTCTACCAACCTAGTTTTCCCATACTGGGAGACAACTGTGAACAATTAGGCTTTTTGTCAGGCCATGTGCTGGCTCTATCATTCACATCAATGGACATGACTCATGTTTTATGGGCCACTCCGAATTCTCCCTTTTTCGGGGGTAAAAGTGCACCTGACCACCTGCATGATCTTTTTCATGACATGGTGCTCAAGCCTTCTCTATTTTTTTTTCTCTCCATGTATCATTCTTTGTTTTATTCAGAGTATTTTTGGCTTCACTTCCCTGGTTTATTTTACTTAGTGACTTTTTCTACATACACTCCTCTAGTTTACAACCTTCTGCTTGGTAGGTGCCACATTTCAGGGGAACACTTCTTTATAAATCTATTTTGCAAGCCTTCTGTTTCCATACTGATATGCATCTTAAACATGGACAAGGAACTTCTCTAACATTCTCACTGTACTGTTTCCTCTTAGTGTGGAAAATAGGGGCTGCCTCTAAATTGTAGATACAGGTTGATTTCAGTGGGGATTGCCTGAACACTGTGAAGGGTGTGAATGGCTGGGTGTCCAAACTATGTATGTGTAAGAATATTTTGGCACAGAAATAGGGCTGGTATGTATCTCGCCTCTTGTTTGCAGTAAAAAAAAAAAATCAGGTTCTGTGAATCTGAAGATAACATAAGAGAATGGGACACACAGAAAACTATGGAAAACATACTAAATTGAAGTATTTCAGACAAGTGTTAAGATAAGAGCTCTACTTTAAAATAATTCTGATTTCAAGACAGTTTTACGTTAGTGTTCCCAGAACTTTTATTATTCCGCTTTTCCAGATCTGCTCATGTAGGAGGTCAAACTGTCCAGAAGGGAATTAGTATTGGAAGTGTCTGGTTAGACTGTTGTGCCTTTTTCCTTGCCCAACATTTGGGACACCGGGATTTTACAACTGGATAATCTTGTTTGAGTGATGTTGTCAAAAATCAGGAGTCAGTTTTGCTTTTTTATTTCTATATTTTTAGCTTTTCTTTTAGTAGAATAATGCTATGTTTGGTTTACAAATATTAAAGAGATTGAAAAAAAAATATTTCTAAAAACCATGCTAGAACTAAATATATATATATGTTGCAACATTTACATAGTATTTTTAATTAAAGTTTAGTTTTGCAGGTTGTAATATTTGGCTCATTTTGATTTGAATGTGTTCTTTAAAGGAAGCTTATAAAAAGTTAACAGACGAATAAATATATTGACCTATATTTATCGAAGTCAGTGAGTATTACTTGTTCAAATGGTTATGGAGTAATCTCTGTTTTGGTTACTTATTTGGTTACTTTTGACAAATAGACCCCAAAATAATTTCATTATTTCACTTTCTGACTTTTTTGTAGACTACACACTCACTTAAGGAACCAAATGTTCCAAAACTAAATAATATAAATGAGGGAAAAGGAATAGATAAAATAAATGCACTAAATACTCGAACCATCTTGTAGGAACAGAAACCTATTTAAAATATTGAATACCTTTATTTTTTGGTGAAGAGACTTAATTTCCATTTGCAAGTGTTTTGTAATTATTCCAGCTTCAACAGCTTTTTTACTCTCATCTGCCAACTGACGACTAAAGGTGTTATCATTCAACTTCAGCTGCTTTTCAAGGACCTTAAAAATATTACATACTTTAAAATATGGATGTTCTCAGTTTGACTGTTCAAGAATTTCAATTCTTATCAGATTTTAAAAATTAAGCATGCTAAACAATAAAAAGATTCTAATTATATTCCTCTGAAATGTATGATATTATAATGAAGTATCCCAACATTTATGCCAAAAATGAACAAAAATTAGTTTCAAACCTAAAAACCCCAAACAAAAGTGTAAAGGGGCATTTAAATAAGAAAAATAAGCCTGTACGTTTCTTATGGATTAATGAATACAGTTATCTTGGAGATAAAATTTAAGATATCATTTCTATTCAGAGTGCTATTAACCGTGGCAGCATAAAGAGGCTTAGCGTGAATGAATACTAGGTACTTTAGCAAGTATTTTATGATCAGAACCCAGAAAATCTTATACTGTGCACTGAAATTATGGTTACTAAAATTTTAAGTTGGGCATCCCATCTTGCAAGCTTTTTATAGCTTCTGTCACCTCTCTAAACAGAAAGATTTCAAATGAGTCTGAATTCAGCTATTTTTATACATATATATATATATATTCTTTTTTCATCTATAGGACTTCGGACTTAGCTCTTCAGATGTTCTGTTCTAGACAGCAGTACACTGAAAAGAATATTCAGTGTTACAAGGGTTCAATTAGAAGCATTAATTTAAGAAGAACTTTTTACCTATGTGGTACAGAAACTCTCTTCTTAATGCGCATACTACTGCATTTGTGGAACAAATTACCTGTATTCTCTTATTATTGACTTCCATTTTTTCTGTAAGGACTGATAATCTGTAATTAAGTTCATCTCTGTCTGCAAGAGCCTTGTCTTCTGAAAGTTTATGCAACGCTTGCAAAGCATCTTTATTTTTCAGCAACTCTGCTTCAACTTTTCTGAGCTTCCTGGCTGTATTTCGTTCTTCCTCCTGAGACATCCTCAGGAGTTTCCTTAAAGCTCTTACCTCAGTATAATGTCTTGCCAAAAGATCAGGCAAGTTATTTTCTGAATTTTCATATCTACCTATTGCTTTCAAGTGCCGACACTGAAGTTCTTTTAGGATTTGGTTTTCTAAGTTTGACGCTTCTAGTTTGTGTTGTAAATCAAATAGTTCATTTTTCAGCTCTCTGATTTTCTGAAGTTTTGCTGATGATATTCGTTGAGCCACGGCATTTTTTTTCTGGGAAATCACATTATTCTGCAGACTTAAAAATGAAGTATTCTTATGTTGCATTTTCTTAGGTGCCAACTTCTTCCCTCCTGCATTCAGACCAAAGCAAAATGATACTGTGTCATCTGAGACAGCAAAATCACTATTTATAGTTCATATAAGTTAAAACACTGATCAGCCAAGCTACTTAAATGTGCTATATTTGACAAAATGTCCACATCTATACTAAGACTCCAATATTCCAATATTTTAGGGATAAACCCATACAGATTTTTATGTCTGTGTATACGCTGCCCTGAGCCATAACTGGGTCTTTACAAGGTCGAGATTCCTTGCTTTCCTTCTCTGAAACCATTTTCATTTAAAGAGCCATCACGCTCATATTCCATTAAGAAGGGTAACTAAGTACACGCTGTCCTCTAAGGCAACTGCAGTAATACCCTGTGAATAACACTTACTAAAGCACAGTTATTTAAAGCAATTACTCCAACATCAAGTTAAAGAGATTTTCTCTCCCTGTAAATCATACAGGTCACTAATACATCTGTGAATTGGGGATTGATGAAGCAAATGATTCCATCTGGAAAGACTCCCAAAGGCTTCAGCAAAGGAGGACCTTGAATAGAGAATGGATCTCAAATAGAGAAATTCGTTAATGGAAGAAAATAAATAGTAATCTAGAGACCTGCAAGAACTCAAGAAAAATCCAAGTGATCACAGTAATATATTTAAGTTTCTCTGCTGCTTGGAATTCTTGTCAGCTTCCTACAAGTTCCAAGTCATTTTTGAATTGACCTAAGTTTTTTACCTTCGCATATGTTCCTATAACTGCAGAATTGTCTGTACTGTTTTTAGACAGGAATTAAGAAGGGGGGGGGGAACAGCCTAGCATTCTAAGTGCATTACTCTCATTTCCCTTTTCTAAAACATAATTCAATTTTGAAAATAGTCAAGACTGTTTATCTGAGTGTTTTCCTCCTTTCCAGGCAAATAATTTCACAATAGCTCTCCAGGCATTTCCTGCGGCATTTTGCTAGATGATTATTATGATTACTTATAAATCATGTAGTATTTTAGCAATAAAGCAGGCAAGGTCCTAACCTAAAATAAAACAAACACCCACAAAGAGGCAGATCTATTTAAGCACATCTGTTGAATTCAATGGAAAATCTCCACATGAACTACTGATAAGAGCTGGCTCATGGTAGGAAACACCAAATTTCAGAAGGAAAGCAACACCAAAACAGGGGCAAGAAAAGGAAGAGGAAACTGCAGCATAAAGCCAGGACCTCGCTGCTTCCACCACCTATGCTGGAGTGCTGGAAAGCTACAGAGAGACGAGTGGGGCAGCAGCTCCTGCAGAGCACGTGGCTCCTCTCAGCAGCAGCACCTTTTCCTACCTTTTCCCGGTCCTTGCGGTGTCAGCTGGACCAGCAGCCTTGCTACTCCCCACAGCTTACTGTCCAAGTCTTCTCCTCACCTTCCCAGGAAAAAGATTGGTGTTCCTGGCTTGGCCCTGGCACTGACACCTTATTTTTGAGGCAGCAAACATGAAAGTTGCTTACTTGACAAAGCTGAGAAGCCTTAAGCCACAGGACTGCACAGAGTATCCCCCCCACAAGGATAAGGGGATTATAAGGAAATTACAATGGTGATTGGGCAGAATAAAATAGGGATTACAATGCAGAGAAGTTTGGAAGCTGTGCAGGGGAACACTCCTCTCATTCATATTTTGTCCCTGCTCCCTAAATATCTGATATATTCGGCTCTTTTAGCATACAAACCTGATGGTCTCTGTTCTGACAACCACCCTGACAGAAGACAAAGTGTGGGCAAGTACACAGGACTTAAATCATATAAAGTTGTAAGGGGAGAATAAGGTTATTAAAGTCAAGGTGAAGGAAAGGACAGAAAGAACTTGAGATCAGGAATGACGAGGAGGAGAAACTGATTCGGACAGAGTACTTTATTTTTTTTACCTATGCTTTAAATGAGTTAAGGAGAAATATTATAGAGATTCAGGTAAAGAGAGAAGAGAATACAGTCATTCATCAAAGCCAGAGATGATCAAGTCTTTCCAGAGTGAAAAAAAATTAACCAGTGTTGTGGGAAAAAAAAAAAAAAAAACCTGTTCAAATGTTAAGAAAAGAAGCAAATATCCTGCCTGCATATTCTCTGTAATACAAATTGTAGAATTCATTTCCACTGCAGAAGGACTACGAATATGAACCTGAACCCGGCCATGCAAATATTTGCAAAATGCGACAATGGTTACATTGCTAATTTAGTTTTTGCCACAATGGGATGACCGGATATAAATGAAAAACACTTTATTGCAAAAGCTAACAGAATGCTGTAAAATCTAATACCACATCATGTAGGATGAAAATTCTAGCTCTAAGTTTGTTCCTAGGAGATTGATCCTGTCAAACTGCCATGTACAACCAAAACCAATCACTTAGAGGATCCAACAAAGCTAGAAGCCAATAATGATGTTTTCTGCTAAACAGATAAAAATATTTGGTTACTCTTTCTGGTCCTGTGGTTTCACACCAGGATAACTTCTTGACACGCATAAAACTTATTTAATAAAATGGAGAAATAATGTTTACTCCTTTTTGATAAATTTGCATCTTTTAGATTTTGTAGAGCCAGGTAAAATTGAGCAGCTTAGAAGGAAATGGGTCACCAGTTTTATAGTTACGTTTTGACTTAGGGTGGTGAGATTTAAGAAAGTGTATGTCTAGGTATGAAAAAAAATGCTTATGTGGATTCTTTACTGCTAGCATTTACATAAATGGAATATATTTGTTCTATATGGTCACTCATTTTGATTAATTGATTTTAATTTTCAGTTAATTTCAATTCAACTTTATATTATATACTATGACTACGCTGGCCAAAATATACAGCTTTTTTTTTGTCAAAACTTACACTTTTGTGCAAACTTATCATTTTTGAGTAACTTTTCCTCAGGAAAGGCTTCTCAAAGTCCTTGTGCAACGCACACTCAAAAACAGAGAACTTACAGTATACATGGGAGTGCTACTTTCAAGTTCCCAAATTCAACAATGAGGAAAAAGGATTGCGAAAGTGTTCATACAATGGTCTAATGTATAGGGAATCTACATCTCTCCACTCTCCTGTTTTTGAAATATAATTTTCTTTTAAATGCACTATGAAATTGTTTCCCAAACCAGAAAAAAAAAAGCCAAAGAAAGTGAACAGATACATTTTTCAGGACAGTCTCATTTCACTACTACCAGAAATTACCTTTTTACCTTTGGGGGCGATGATATGCTGCCTTTTTTTCTTTTTTTTCTTTTTCTGCGTTTTCTTCTCTTCAGTTCCTGATAGTTTTAAATTATTGCTCTTTTTAGGTGTTTCTGAGCAGTCACTGATGAAGTCCTCGGAATAGTTAGCATAAGAATTATCACTTTCATATTCTCTACAACATTGCCCACAATCATTACTTTTGCCACAGATGATGCTTTTAATACTCTCATTTGTCTTTGCAGAATCATTAGCGTCCCTGCTTTTTGTGCCACTTCCTGACCTATTATCTTCTTGTACTAAAATATGAAGGAAACAATGATCCGAGCTCATCATTATCTTGCTTGTAGAACACTTAAAAATCGACACCCATAACCTATTAGGAATCAGAATGTTAGTGAGCTGATCACATAAAAAACTTAGCATAAGTAATGCCAAACAGTATAACAAGTGTGCAAGTCTGTTTCCAGAAAGAACTGCAGCATGAAATAGCTGCAGTAGCATACCTTACAATTCACTATAATACTGGCATATGTTTTCTAAAGATTTACAATGCCAGTATTGTAATTCCAAAAAAGAAAAGATACTATGGTTTGTAATGTATATATTTTGCCCATGATTAACATTACGGGGCAGAGGTGCAGTTGCAATTTTGCTTAATAGTTAAAGACTGCTTTGCAATATTAAAAATATTTATAACAAGTACCTAGATAGTATCTAGAAATTGGTTTAATTGATAATTCTAATTGTGTTCTTACATAATTCTAACAGCCTATTTATGTAATAAAAAAGCCATTTGGTCATATTTTTCAATATTTAGAGGACAAATGAGACCAGGAACATGTACATGAAAATAAAACCATCTAAAGAGATACATTAACACTACAGGCAGGATAAACAGCAGCAACTAAAGCTGCACAACAGAACATCTATTTTATATATTAAGAGCTTTCTTAATCTTTGGGATGTTACTTATGTTCAAATCAGAATAATTTGTGAAAACAAGCTCACTGAATAGAAACACATAATAATAAAATGGCTCTGCACACTTTTAGAAGAAACATTAAGCAAAATTCCAGTGGTTTTCTTAATAGCAATTTCTTTACAGCCTACCTATATTTAGCATATTTTTTTCCTTTGAAAATACCGTAAGATATTTATCCACATCTTCAGGATATAACTGTGAAAACATCACCTGTAATGTATTGTTGCTGTCAGGTATTTGGTTTGGTGATGATCTTTGATCAGCTTCCAAGCCCCAGGGGAGCTGTCTTCTTTTGGTAGTCCAATTAATAAGAACATGAACAACTCTAGTTATTGCAGTTTTAAGAAAAACTAACATGAACTTATAACAAAAGGCTTAAGTAGTTTTTATACTTTTGGGGCGGTTGCAGACTAGCAATTATGCAAAAGGCATATGCGGAGGGGTCAAAATGATTCTTCAATTCAGGTAGAAACTAACAAGCAGCTGAAGCTAAAACAGAAAATATTTTTAGAATATTTAACCACTTTTTAAAGCTTTTTTTTCCCCCTGAGATAGCATTTTATTTTAAATTGACCTAAGTTTATTAAAGGGGAATGAGGGAAAAATCACATAATAACTCCCTAAGAAAATGACAAATTAAAATTTAGGTTTGCACAAAATGCTTAAAGCAAACCTAACTAATTACCTTCCTTTTCACTCTCTCATATGAACAACTGTCCTTAGTGGAAAAAGGAGGAGTGCCTGGGAGCTAGTAAATCGGAGCTGGTGCAGGAACCTGTAAGAGATGGGAACTCATGTTTCAAAATGTCAATAAGGCAGTAGCTACCCTGGCACATTTCTGCTTAAATGTGATCTGGCACTGTCATAATTTTCTCGCCAAATCGTGCTTAAGTCAAATTATATCTTAAACTAAACTTAAACTACTGTTTTCATTTGTTACAATGCGCAGTGTGCGCTGAGCTGAAACGTTCAGCTTCAAAAGCCAAGGAAAAAAAAAAAGGAATAGAAAAGGACATAAAGAGACAGAAAAGCAGGAGAGAAGGAAAACAAGAAACAGAAAAAAAATGGTAGCACTGTAGAAATTAAGATAAAGCAGCGGCAGAAGTGGAAATTGATCTCGGCACCCGCCTCCCACGCAGGGAGGACGATGCGGGAGGGAGCAGGGACCCCCGCAGCGGTCCCCCCACCCTCGGGCACCCGTTGATCTCAACGGCCACCTCGCT